TTCCACTTTTCCCCTACAAAACCCATTTTCCAGCTCGTTTCCTCTCTAAACCCTTTTCAACTCTCTCACAACACTCGGCACTTAACCCTGTCTCTCTGTCTTTCTCTCTAAAAAAACAACAGCCCGTCCAGAGCATCAGATGCTCTAATTACGCAAACATGTTGTCCATTTGGATGGCAATGGCAAGCCTCTTTCTGGCAGGAAAAAACCCCCCTCCTTCCAGCAGTGAAACCTCTTTAGAGTGGACTCCCCAGCGGATGACAAGTTTTATTCCCAAACATTTTCGACACCTGGCGTGGCGTGGCGTGTGTGTGTTTGTGTGTGGCATGCCCCAGGGATCGCTCCGGGGCATGGGCATGGGCAGGGGGGTGACTAAATGGAACACATTTTTAGCCGTATCTGGCTATCGAGAAGAACGTGTTGACTGCTGAAGGATTACATTGCATGTATGACAGAACTTTGTCAGCGGCGAAGCACCAGAGGAGTGGAGCGGAGGGGACCTTTGATTAATGATTAACGGGGGACGGGGGACGGGGAAGTGCATATGTGGCACACACCCCCGTCTATTGGCAACCTAGAACTTAATTACCAAACCAAATTTTATACAGAAACAAAAAGAAAAAACAAAATCTTCCCGCATTTCATGATGGATTCGATGGGCAGGGCGGCTTGTGGGCCTCCGCCTGGGGGCTTGGCTCCGACCCTGAGCCCATTGCAGCGGCAGAGCGGCAGAGCGTCAGATCGGGGCTAATGATGCCCCATTGTCTTGTGATGCGTAAAAATGCCAGCGATGATGCCTCGAAGTCCACTAATTTCTGGCTGAAAGCCGAAGCGACTTGCTTGAATGCCGCCTCGTCTGTAGATCAGACAAACGACAGGCGAATGCGGGAAGTCGTCAATGCAGCGGTGGCGGCGGCGACGGCGACGATTCATTTTCGTTCTGCGAGGGGCATGCAACAAATTTAATATGTTTCTCTGGAGTCGTCTCGGGAGTTGATTCTTTCCCTGATCGCAATTTTGCGCACTGAACTGTAACCGGGAGTTAATAAGCTCAACGAAATCGTCGCCATAATAGGTCGCACTCGTATCTAGGGGCCACTCCAAGGGGCATGCATTTACATAAAGAAAGAGAGAGAGGGAGGGAGGGAGAGGGAGAGGGAGAGTAGCTGGTGGAAGGGTGTAGAGCCACAATGAGGGTCAAGACTTTCAGAAAGGAAGCCAAGCAGGAAATCTTAATGTTTGTGTGGTCTTTTCCTTTGGGAATAAAAAGGGTTCCAAGAGATCTGAGATGGAAAGATAGCGAACGATAGGGATACACGGAAGCGCAGATAGATTTATTGGAAATCACATTTCATTGTAAATCGTTTGGTGGGATTTTCCTGCATTTAATTTGGTGTGTAAATGATTTTCTCCTCCACCTCCTTCCGATTTTCCTCGCTTTTTTCTCTACTTCTTGACAGCTTGAAATATTTGAGATACTTAAGCACACGGCTCTGCCCCGCACGCTTATCCTGCTTCAAACTAATTAAGCGCCTTGGCAGCGGTGGAAAATGGAAAAACTGTTGAAAACCTCAAGCTGGTGAGCATGTTGCTGCCACCAAATAAAATTGTGGCGACCTGGCGCCAAGTCATTACGCGAGAAGCGAAAGAAAAAGTCTCAACAACATGCCAAGTGGCAGATACAGAGATACATTCTAAAGGCAACAGCACACATAGATACATTTTGTTCTACTTTTCAGGGGCGCCACCACTTGAGGCACATCATTTTCTTTGTTTTTTTCACAAGTACAAAAGCTGCCGCACGGCTGAAAATTATTTTACAATTTAACACAAAAATAAAAAACAAAACACAGCAAAAGAAAACCCCAAAGAAGGCAATAAAAAAAAAGGAAAAACTGAAGACAGACCCAAAGAATTATTTCACCTTGTGGCATGGCATGGCATGGCTCCTCGAGTGGCGGCCAGAAGGTCTTTTGAGGAAAATTGTGGCACCTGTGCGGTTTGTGCCGCCTGCGTATCTTCAGATGTATCTGTAGCTGTGGCCCCTCTGTCTTTTTTTGAGGCAAACAAATAAACTTGCGGCCAAGTTATGACAGTCGACTCAAAGGGGGGTGGGGATGGGGATTTTCACAGGAAACATTATTCTTAGTTAGATGCTAATTAATTAGAAGACGCGGAGGAGTAGGAAGGTGCCCCGGCCAGGGGCCAACCAAATTCAGTGGCAGCCACCGCTGCGGCATGTGGGAGGAGACACAAGACGATGTTGTCGAACCAGTAGTCGCACCACTGCCCCTGCCACACTGCCGCACTGCCGCACCATGCTGTGAATGCAGTCGAGAATGACATTTTTCGTTTTTTTTTTTTTGGGTGCTGTTTTTCCTGTGGCAAGCGAGCGAGGTACATTTCTTGACAGGTATAAATTTGCTTGATTGTGGTTTTCGTCAGTGCCAGCCAGTGAGAAAAAAACTGCTGCCACAACAGCCACAGAAATGAGGTTGCAGATGGAAGGGCAGTCGTTATTTAAGAGAAATTATAATCAATTTTAATTTGCATGGAAAATATCCAAGAGTTATATCTTTTTAGATACAGATGGATAGATATTTTCTCCTAGAAACTGGGCTACAACTTTCATTTAATCAACTTTAAAAGTAAAGAAGATACAAAAGAGATACCTGGAAGCATTTAAAGATACTTTTTACAACTAAAAATCATCAAAATGTGAAAAAGAACCATCCTTTTACCATAGAAAAACTGTCAACAAATATTTTATTATGAATTTTTATTCAATCGAATATCTTTCAAGCCTCTTTTAGTGCTGGAACTATTTAAAGATACTATCTGTAACTAAAAATTAAAGAATATTGAAGAAGAACCATTTTTTTGATTATAAACAAACTATCAGAACCATTATATTATCAGCTCAAATCCATTAGAGGACATTCTTTGACCATTTAATGCTGTGAGTATCTAAAGATACTTTTGGCGACTAAATACTAAATCTTTGCGCAGCAGTATTCGGTTCTCTTTATGGCCTATAATTGTTTGAATGGCTTAAGGCTTTTAATCAAGGATTTTCTCCTACAATTTCGAAATATAAAATATTTAATTAAATTTTATATATTGTTTTCTCTTTTCTTTTATTTTCTTTCAAATTTAAATGAATTATTCAACCAAAAGAATGGCAAAAATCTGGCATTGTTTCATTTGGGAATCAAAAATGAAAATCCTCTTGATTTTTGGCTAAAGAATTTCATACAGAAGTATTGTAATTAAATCAATCAAGCGTCATCAATCATTTGGCAAATGGAATATTCATACATGAAGAAACCACAAATTAAAGCCACTGCTGCCACAACTTGTGCCACAAGATTCTTTGGAGTCTTTTCGTTTGTTTTTTTTCTCTCTCGAGTTATTATAATAATGATTGGGGGCGCCCCAAATGGCGCTTGAGGCAGAGATGTGGCAGTGCTTCGCCTCGCCCGCTGCCAACTTGTTTACACAAATTTTAATTGGTGTAATTATGATTTTTACACGAAATTAATTATGCATGCGCTGCTCGCGCGCGATTGCGGCACTGCATCTTTCCGTCTTTCCATCTCTTTGCAGATGAACGAACAAGTATCTGGCGGATGCCTGAGTGCCTGCTGAATGCCGCCTCAATCTCCCAATACAGTTTCTAAACAATTTTCAAAGTGAGTGAAGTATAAAGCGAGGGGGAGACTCATTAAAGTTATTTACAACCGAACAAACAGAGAAGAAGGAATGATATCTGGGTGGAATTTTAATTACCTCTCGAATCTCGAATCTCGAAAGAACAACAACAACAGCACGGAAATTATGAAATACTTCGGTACAGAGATAGAGAGAGAGAGAGAGGAGCCGCAGAAGTATCTACAAAAAGTGTGAAGTTGCCAAAGAACTGCATCTGGCAGATAACAATCTTGTATCTTTTAGGGGGGAAAGATCTTTCTCCACAAAAACACACAAGAGAAATGCCCGAAGAGATTCTTTTTCTTTTTTTCTAGCATTTTTATTACCGACCGTTCTGCTGATGAGGCAGGCTGCCGCTTTGTATCTTGTATCTATAAGATACCGCAGGTTATTTTGATTAGCCCGAGATGTTGACAGTTTGACTTTTTCTTAATTTGTTGTTTAATTAATGCGTTTTTTCTTTTTCTTCTTAGGAGAAAAATGGGTTAGAAATGCGGGGAATGTGTGGGGAATGCGCCAAGCGATAAGATTTAACCTTTGGTGGCATGTGGCACCCTCGATGGAGCACAAACATCCGCTGTTTCACACAAGTTTCACTTTTGGGGATTTCCCTGAAAATGTTCCATTTATTTTGGAAAATTTCAGCGCCTCTTGTGGCAGCAATTCCTTGGGCAATTTAAACTGATATTATTTGTAATCTTTTACTGATTGAAGTTGCAATCTCTGGGATACAAAATGTTGTGTATTTTATTATTCATTCTTTTTTTCTGTTATTCACGGCGCCTGCTTATTCATGCTACATCTGTTTTTCTTTGGCAAGAATGCGACAAATGCCTCCGCAATTTATTTTCCCAAAACTTCACTTCTTATCCGAAAGAATTTTCCAGTAGAAACACATTTACTTCCCCCACCTTTGAATGCAAAAAAAATGACTCAAAGTTCTGTTTCAAAAACATTCACTGCCTGTTTGTGTTTCTGGTCTTAAATGCCTGATCTGGGCTAAATAAATTTAAGCCGATTTGATAAAGAAACTTGTTTCCGTTGGGTCTTTGCTGTTTCCTAATTGATTGTTTGCTGACTTTATTTATGCACCCGATACTCGCTTTTATTTATGCAATTTATTTATTTATCTTTGCTCTTTTTTTTTGTATTTGTTATTATTTCCATTATTTCTTAACAAAGAAACAACTGTGTTTAATTGTTTTCTGCAGATTTATTGAGAGTTAAGAGTTTTCCTCCAAGTTTTCTTCATTCCTCTCCCATACGGGACTTTTCCCTCTGCGACTCACCTTTAATTTTTCTTGATTTCTGTTGAAAGATATATCTTTAGTTTTTCAAGAATATCTCCCGATTGTAATCCTTAGTTTTGTTGCCCAATTTTGTGGTGGGTTTTTCCACTTGCACTAAAACACTCAAAAATTTTAAATGCAAAATAAATGCAATTTCACTCTGCACGATGCACGTTGCACGCTGCACGTTGCACGGTGCACACTGGAAAGATGTTGTATCTTTTTGGATCTCTGGTTAGGTTTTGGATATGTTAGGGCCTTCTATGTGGCACATTTCACACACTTTGCCCCGCATTGATGGCGACGCCAAGAGCACAGTTGCCGCATTTTAGACACTATTTTATTCCGATATTCTTGCCTCCGATTCGATTCGATTGGGTTCGATATCTGTGGCAGACAGACACTCGCGATACGCGCGCGAAACTCGGTTCCCGAAACGACGATTCGTATGCTCGCTCGTACGACTGCAAGACTGCGTTGTTGTTGCCACGGGCGCTGGGATGAGTCTGAAACGCCGCGCGAGTCGAGACCGCGGCCCGCTGTTCGCTGCCTTGTCGTGCTGCGTCGTCGACGTCGACGCCGACTGAGCGCTCTCTGGGCTGAGGACTGTGTTGAGGGTTGCCTTTCGGTCGACGGTCGATGGTCGACGGTCGGTGGCTTTCGATTCTTGTAACGCGCCGAGCGAAGGTTGACGAGCGATTGAATGGAACGAGCGATGTAAGCCCGCACAGGAGCCCCGTTTCCACGACGACGACGACGACGGCAGCAGCGGCACGACCAACAGTGTGGCATGTGGCATGTAAGAGCCGAACGAACGGCAACTGCTGCATGTGTGTTGGTGGTGTTGTGGATGGTAAGAGAGGCGACTGGGAGAGTGGGTAGCCGAAGGTGGCAGAAGAGCGAGAGAGAGTGTGGGAACGAAAGAGCGCCGTTTCGTTGAGTTTTTGATGGCGTGCTCTCTCTTTGGAGTTGGCTCTCTCTTTTGTGGGTTCTATTGGGTATTTGGATTCTCTTTTGGAGCTTGTGCATTTTATATTTGGGAATATTTTGATTTAAATGAAATTTGTTTTTCTCATTTTTTCCTATTCTTCTGAATTCTGGGGGATTAAGGCCCCCCAATTTGTACTCCAAAAAATAGTCTTGGAATTTCATACCTGCCCCATCAGATACACCTGTGCAGCACTCGTCGTGCAACTCCCAATTAAGAAGCATTTGCAACTCCATAGACCTGTGCTCTTCTGCCCAAAAATGTCTCTCTTTCGACATTTTGTATAAGAGTTTTCACTTCCACATCGTTGCGGCGGAGGAACAACCGGAATTTAAGCGAAACAAAACAAGAGAGCGACATTTTTGTAACTGTTGATTTTGTTTTTACTTTCCTTGAGATACATTTTCGCCAAGCGAATACATTTTGTCCAAATTTTTGGTTGAGTTGTCTGCCCTGAGGACGACGCTGATGAATTTCCAATAATTGCCGCTCGCATTAATCAAGATATTCACACACTCACGACACGGCAGATGCAAGATACAAGCGGAGACGATAGAGATACATTCGCCTCGTGCGTAACGCGCCGCAACTTGTCATAATGTGGCATTATGGTCGGGCTTAGTCCCCGTTGAGATTTTCCATGGGGTGGGGAAGGGGGAGAGCAAAGAGAACGAACGCCGATCTTGTCGATGATTTATGGAACGCTTCGGTTTGTTTGCGCGACAGAAAACTCTCCTACGATAGAGTCTGCAACGGTTAGTGGTTTGGTGAAGGGGGTATGGGGTAGGGGGAGTGGAACGTGGATTGAGAGTGAGAGTGGGGGGGAGCGGCACTTGTAGATGGTATCGGTTTATGGTCTCTCGCCTGCCTCGCTTTTTGATTGATTGGTCGGGTCGCACTTGGCGATTGGGAAGGGGTGGGTGGTGGCTGGTTGCTGGTTGCTGGCTTGCCTCCGGGGAGCGATACTCGTGTGTCGCGTTACTTTCGAATGTTTTCTGACTTGGTGACACAGTTTTCAATAGAGCTGCCTGCTCTATTCGAGTGTTTCCGCGGCTAATCTGCTTAATCCATACAGCGTTTCCAATGTGTGACCTCATAAGGTGTGATCGGAAAGGGTTCTCTATAGAGATACTACCAGATATGCATATGTATGTATGTATGTATAAGTGAGAGGAGTTTGAATCTTTTGAAAGTGAATAGAAATGGTGGAACTTTTGTTTATTAAAGACGGTAGCTGCCGGACAGGTAAATGTGGTTTTAGCTTAAGGCCTTTTATAGCCATGGACTGTGATAACAAAGACTAGACTCGGATAGAGGCGGTACAGGAAGAGTAAAAGAGTATTTATGGGTTGACTGAAGAACAGAAGAAGATGAGAATCTGAGTTCTAAATGATTTTGTTTCCCTTGGTGCTTTTGTTTACGTTACACTTTTTCGTTTCTCCTTTAAGCAGCATCGCAGTTGTCTGTGGTTCTCTCTCCATCTCTCTTTCGATCGTGGGCTTTCTGCACGAGCTTTGCCTCTCGCAAGCAAAAGAAACTCCCGCAATTCCTTGTCCACTCCGCCAACAACAAAAACAACAATGCGCTGCACTTGGCAGAAGCTGCGACTGAAGCTAGCGCTTGCTGTCTCGGGCCTCAAGCTGAGACCGAAGCTCTTTCGCGCTCTCTCGCCACCCACGCTCTCGGCAAAGACACGACGGAGCATGAGCGACCAACGGCACCTAGATTTGGCTGCGTAGATTATTTGTTTTTGTTTTCAATTGCCTATTGCAGGCCAGTTTCAAGGTTAAACTCCGTCAGAGAGAGGGAGAGGCACAGAGATCAGAGACAGTTTTCTTTTGTTTTTGCATAGAAGTTTCTGGTTTTGCGGTAGGCCGATTAAATGCACGCGGAACAGTAGCAACGGGTCTTTCAGCACGGGCGCGCGTGAGAAAAGTATTTAAAATTAAAACTGAAAGTGAAAAGTGTATTTTTATAGAAGATAATTTAACAAAACTCAAGAAATATAAGTTTCCAGAGTGAGCTGCTGAAGAATGATATATTTTTGAAGGTAATTAGTCACTTTTAGCCATAACTTTAATGATTTCCTTTGCACCGAACCCTTGAAAATGTGCGCTTCTTCTTAAAATTCCCCATTGAATCCTCTTCGATTGATATTTTCCAAACAATTGCTCATTTGACGAACCAATTCCTTCATCCTACAAACAAATAGATGTGCATGTTATTCCCTGAACAAACAAACGATCACATGCCACGCCATCCCGCGACACAATCTTGTCCTTGTCTCTGGGTCCGAGTGCAAACAACTCGCACAAACTGACAGCTAAATATGAAGTGCAAACAAATGCTGTGCTAATCGCATATCTGGCTGATAAATTTATCGAATGCTCCTCCTCGAAGGCGCTGTGTAAATATTCATTCATGATAAGACGCGCCCGACAGCCCTCTGCAGTGCCCTGCCGTCCCCCGACAATTTGTATATTTATGTATCTGCCTGCAGGCCTGATTGCATTTTTGTGTAAATTCCCGTAGCCACAACCATTCGTCTCTGCCCTCTCCCTCCGCTCCCTGGCCGACAGGCAGACATTCCGACTGAAAGACGGAGCGCGCAGGCGCAACAGTTTTGTTCGGCGAAGAGTTATGGAATGAAGTCTGCTGTCGGCCGGTCGGCTGTTTGTTTGCATAAATGATAAATGGCCAATTGATAAGCATAGACAGAGCCAAGAGAGACACAAAGAGACATTTTACCATTTCCTGTACATAGAGCGGAGGGTTTCCTCCCTTCCAGCTGGAAGTCGTCTTTTTACCCATTAGATCCTCTGTACAAATTTGCCACAGAAACATGGGATGTACATATCTTTTTCCCATCGAACAGTTGGGAACTTTAATCCTTCCCCTAAGTAATTCTTCAACCTTTAATTCTCTTGATTGTCCTTTCCACTACTTTTCGCTCCAACTCAAAACTAACGAAGTTTCATCCGCATCCGCCTCCGCCTCCGCATCCGCATCCCACTGATACACTCTAACAACAACAACAACAACAACAGCTCTTGGAGGAGACCTGACTTTAACGCGTGCCAACTTCAGAAGTTTTCAGAAGTTTGCCCCCGTCCCGCACCGCACCGCCACCGGACTGTTGCTACCTTCCGCTTACATCAAATCAATTGCCTCCTCGAATGACGGCGGTGTGTGCCCCTCAGCATTCGCCTCACGTACACGCATATCAATTGCTGCTTCGAGGGCTCTGGCAAATGATGGGCCCATCCAGCCAGCCAACCACTGAATGAATGAATTGAATGGATGGAATGGATGGCATGAATGTGAGTGAGTGACGGGTTGCCGGCTTTGGCTGTAAGGTTGTCTTAACTTTGGCTTCGACAGGCACAACTGCTGTCTGTATATGATATGGATTCTATATATGCATATTGACTGGTCTCCCCCTCCCCCCCATGCCTCCCATGCCTCCCAGCCGTTGTGGTATCTGTTGCTTTCGCTGTGGAGAAGGCCAAAGTTTCGCCACAGAACAAGTGTGTGGGAAATCCATCAAGTTACTCCCAGAAACAACTGGATCTAAACTCTGGGCAAAACTCTTACCTTTTTTTGCTAATCCTAAACCAATTTGAGACTCAACACACAACTGACAGGCATAGTACAGAGCTTGTTCCTTACCGGCAAAAACACTCACCAATGAATGAACTTTGCTGCAGATCAGATTTTTAAAAGCAATTTTCTACTCATCAACTGGGGAGTGGTGCCAGCCACAGTCTTTCATCCTCTGGGCAGTCAGGCATCTACCAGCTAGCCACAGCCCATCTTCTATCTTGCAACTTCAACTCGGAACTCCGTTTCGCCACCCCCCCCAACCCGTTTTATAGCCAATGCTCGTTTCGACTGCTTGCTAATCCCTCAAGCGCATCAGCAGCAGAAACAGAAACAGAACAGCCAAAATGTTCCAGAAAGTAAGTCAAATTCTCGTCTTTCCCATCTCCAAACCCCTTTCCGTTTCTCCTCGTTTTTTTTTTTTTTTTTTGCCTGTGTTCTGGCTGTTCTGGGCTTCTGTTCCTAAGCTCGTTGATGTGTTAATTGACCAAAATTTCGTACACACTAGTAGCTGGAGGGGGCCACATGGTTGTTGCTGAAGAGCGGTGGACGGGGGGCGGGGGGCGGAGGGAACTGTAATGGAAACTGCACCAGAGAGTCGGGGATGGTCGATATTAAATCCCTGTAAAACTTAATTAGAAATTCCATTTTTGGCTTTTGAGAGCATTACACGTGACGCGTTACCAATTATCGACTAGACTGCACTCCGGCTCTGGCTCCGGCTCTGGCTCCGGCTCTGGCTCTGGTTCTGGCCATGGCTCTCTCTGGTTTTTGGCTTTTGGATTTCGATTCGATTCGCTTCGATTCTGATGCCGATGCTGAAACTGTTGCATCTACTGAACGAAATGGCACGCTACTGGATGGTCGTCTGTTCCTGAACGAGGGCACTGTTATCTGGCCATCTGGCTATCCGGCTGCTATCCGTAGAGCGTTAAGCTGCTGTACACATCGCCAATTAAAAATGCCTTTTGAATGGGCCAGAGCCTCGGCAGTCGCAAAAATGATGATGGCAGGAGGAACACAAAAAAAATGGGGGGGGGGAAAAAAAAAATAGAGCAGCTATAACATTTACCTGCCTTA